GACAAATTATGTCTAATTAATGTAATTTAACACTCGGTCTCTGCTAAAAATTTGAGAGATGCACGGAAATCGCGGTCAAAGTTGATAATGTCTTCCTCCCTAAGATATTTTCTCTTTAGGTAATTTTTCGATGTTGACAAAACTGGAAACGTTCTGAGAACAACCAACATTTTCTGTGTATCTCCCATTCTCTCTCTCTCTCTCTCTCTCTCTCTCTCTCTCTCTCGCTCTCACAGTAGGACCATTTCATATATATATACATATATATATATATTAAATACAACTAAAATGATATGTATCAACAATAATATATGTACAAAATAAATATAAATATATATTTATATATATATATATTAAAGAGATGGATTCCCCAGCTGCGAATCTTCGTAAAAAAATAGCATATATTAATAACAAAACATTGTATTCAACAGAAATTATATACAGTACGTGTCTACACGTACGATTCGATCAATAAAATTCTCGTTTCATTTTTAGATACAATTTCGAAAAAGAAGCATATACATTTAAAAAAAAATATTTAGAATAATTTTGAAAAAAAAAAAAGAAAACAACATGACTATACTTATGAATTATTGTCGATCCATAAGTAATCTATGTAGAAATCACTTCTTTTATGTTGTCGATAAATAAAACGATTCGATAATCACGTAAATGATTGGAAATTTAAGAAATCGAATACGTTATTATCAACAACTGATTCGTGTTATGGTCCTACTGTATATGTACCAAATAAATAATTTTTAAGAACGCAAATTTTTTTCTTCCCCCCTTTTTTATTGACGTGATTAGGCTTGGACCGAGCTTTTTCATGAAATAAAAAAGTAGATCCCACTTATACGCGTTAATCACAAGATTTTACTTGTAGCGATTCGGTTTTTTGGAACGTGTATATAACGTTCTGGGCATTACAATGTAATACGAGCTGCTGGAACACACCCAGGTTTATGCTTACAGCATACCTAGAATAACAATATAGCACCTAGGTTTTTTGTACTTTAGCAATTATTTCGTCATGATACTGTAATTAATTATAAACATACACTTATGATGCCACAATGTATTTACATTATGCGAGCATGACTACCAAGATGTGAATGGGAAGCAATCTAAATTCATTCGCACTAGAAGTCGCTTTCTATCTCTCATACGCTTATGCATTCTTTCTTATTACTCATATATTCAAGGATCAAAATTATATAGTAAAAATCTTACTTTACATCCCGTATATATTTAATATATACGAAATGTATCTCATCGTAATACCCATTAGATGTAATCGTTTTATTGGCGCGGTATAATCCATTAAATCTACCTTCTATCGATATAATACAATATCTACATTCGATTTTAATAAAAAAATCGATCGATATAAGTATACTTGACGTGGCTGTCCAACTCGTGGCATCGGTTTGCCACATCTCCCACCGGGAGTATCACTCTTTCGAAATCCGGTAAGAACACCGCCTGAGAGACGAATTATTAACGGAGCAATACGTTTATCTTCGCGGTTCTATAGACTCAAAAAGCCGAAATTCATTTCGGAAAAATACGCGTTATCATTTTTCGTTATCCGCGAAATACTAAAATGCAGATAGGAAGTGGACGTATCGCGCGTAGCTATCGACAAACATGGAAGGCAAGCTATCTTCGCTGACAGTGATCGGTCGGTCGGTTCGAATTTCGCGAGACACGAGTATGAAGCGCGAGGACTCTATCAGCCTGATGTTTTGAGTTGGATGCAGCACGTGTTTTACTTATCTAGTAAAAACTCCGAATTATCTGCGATAACGTTTAAAGGCTTGTCGCGTATCACATAAATCTAGACAGTTTATCGTTTAGTTTAGAATCGTAAATATATGTATATATGTATATATGTATATATGTACCTAACATACTAAACTCAGTGCACGCTTATTCGGCCAACGGATGAGCGTCGTCGCGGTAATCGCTGAGCAGTTGTGAGTGTGTGTGTGTGTTAAATAACTTCCGCGTTATCCTAATCACTGATCTGACTCGTTATTAGTCGTCAGCACAGTGACGGGCTCAGACTCTTTATTGTTCGATGGTAAACTCGTAGCGTCGGTCTCCTCGTTGTCACCCTCGGTGCTGTCAGCTGCGCTAGAACGCGGTGCCGTCGCTGTTGTTGCCGTTGCGTCGTCCTTCTTGTCCTGATCATCACTCTTATCGTTGGCGACGACGACGGGGGACTGTTGCTGTTGTTGTAATTTCTGCATGTGCAACTGACTGCGTAATTTAGTGATTTCGCGAGCGTCCGATCGTCGATGACGTCGCAGCTGCGCGTTCTCCAACGCCACGCGACGTGCCAGCTCTATCACGTCCTGTGGCACGTCCAGGGCCCTTAGACGTTCCTCGAGATCCGCCGCCGCGGTGCCGTCCGTGTCGGAATCGCTTTCCGATGGCGAGGAGGTACCGACTTCAGAACAGGTCGCCAGTGGTGTAGGTTCCACGCTCACGGTGGATGACGTCACTGCTGCACTGCTCTCCTCTTCCTCACCTTCCTTCTCCTTCTTTTCTTTTGGCGGCGCCGCCTCCTTCTGATTTTCCTCGGAAACGTAGTACAGAGGATAAGAATCGATCGCCGGCGCTTGACTTGGCGACGTTTTCTCCGTTTTAACATTGACGGACAATAACTCCTGTTTCTCACACGTGGGACTCGAGGAGTGGTGATTGTGACGGCGATGCTCGTGATGATGCCGTCGTTGCTGATGAACAGACGAAGGTGGCGGTATCTGACCTATCTGTGCGGGTGCCGGTATAGGCGCCAGTGCCACATTAGGTTGGAAATGCGGCTCGAAACGCTCACACTCCGAAAGCGGAATGACTCGCTCCGGATGTTGCAATACAGGTGGACCTCGACTCAGATATGCAGGCACCAACGATGAACTGTTGACAAAGGCGATCCTCATCTCAACTGTCGCCTCTGTGCATGACTCTGACAAAATATAACGTAAACAATACTTACTTGTCCCTGTGCTTGCAATTGCCGGTAGCATTCCAAGGCTGAAAGGCTGCACCTCTGGCAGCGAGCTCGAAAACCGCCCATTGCATCTGCAAGTACGAATCAGTGGCAATTTGGGATACAGGATGGTACATTGCCAGTCCATTGCCATTGTAGATTCCAGTGCAATCGTCCTTTCCTATTTCCTTCTTTGTGCGTTTGACCAATCTCTCGTGCTCATGTCTCAGCTAAAAACAAATTATTTGAACTTGTATACTTTTTCAGATATATTAAGATCAAGTGACGTTAGACTTAATTTTATATACCATTTTAATAACACATTTGGAATGTTAAAATTACATTTTTATTTTTAAAGACAAAACGTAAGTGACAATACCTCTAGCTTTCGCTTGGAATTTAGCACAAGATGCCTCTCTTTCAGCTCCCGAAAAAGAATGAGCGATTTGTTGTAGTGTTGCTGATCACGAGAGAGCAAAAGATACGACCGCCAGTTGGCGGAATCGAAACCCCAATGGCAAGTGCGATTCTCCAGAGATCTGTGAGCATGTCTCACAAAGCGTTGAGGAGAGAATTGGTAGCCACACTCCAGACACTCAATGCACACTGAATCGTCCGTCTCGAACAGTTTCGCATCGAAGATACCCTTGCACTTGCCAAAACATTCATGGTACACTTTAAACTTAACAATCGCCTCTTCCTCCTCCTCCTTCTTACACGTTTTCTTATCAAGACAGTCCTGTGCTGGTCCGATCTGAGAAGGATCGCAGGATTCTGTCCGTAACAGCAAAGCACTGACGAGCCTTTCGGCATCGGTCTGGGTGATGAGACCACAGGACGGCGCGTTGCGCGGCAGAATGCCGGAATGCTTGAGCTCCTCGAGCTGATCCCGGGTGCAGCGTGAACAGTAAATTTGCAGCTCGTCGCACACCTGATTGATTTGCTGCAGGGAGAAGTCCTGCAGCACCGTATTCAGTATCTGCGGCAGACATAATCTTCTCTCACCACCCACTACGAAGCACGAGATCCTCTCACCCTCGAGGATCGTCTCGCATCTCTCGGAGCAGCTCTGATCAGGTGCTGTGAGTATCGGTATCTGAAACTCAAGCTCGCGCTTTTCGCACACGACTTTCGGACGATCCACCACCGCGGGACGATCCTCATCCGAGTCCTCCAACGAGCGGGGTGCCTTCGGGGTGTTGACGGGCGTCAACGTGCGTCCCGACGTCTCGCGAATCTCCTTCTCAATTACGTCCTTTGACGGTTGCGACTCCACGGACGATTCCAGGCCACAGTTGACTGCCGGACGACTGACAGCGGGTGGCGAGAAGCACGACTGTTGTTCGTGCAACAGGGCTTTACAATCCATGCCCAGCAGAGCCGAGCTGGGACCTTGTAGGCTCTTGATGGCTGACAGCTGATAGGTCTTGAGGACGGTCTTCAATTGCGGACTATACGACTGGCCAGCGGCGGTGCTGCCTGGCAATAGTGTCTCCATTGTGCACGCGTATTCAACAAGCGTACCCTCCGGAGGAAAATAGACAACCAAGATTCGGAGTACAAGCGCAATCACCGCCACTTCAACGTATGCAGTCCAACGTTGAACAGCGGTGAATCTCAGTGCACTCGATATCGCTTTATATACATGCAACTGATGTACACAATATATTATACTTTGACCGTCCACCAGTTTATTTATGTCGCGAATGACGGAGCAGCGGGACCGGGCACTAGCACGACAACTGGCGCGACAACTCGGCTTCCTCGCGATTCCACTTCCATGTTACTCGGGCCCAGCGCGTCGTCGTCGTCGTCGTCATCGTCGTCGTCGTCGTCGTCGTCGTCGTCGTCGTCGTCGTCGTCGTCGTCGTCGTCGTCGTCGTCGTCGTCGTCGTCGTCGTCGTCGTCGTCGTCGTCGTCGTCGTCGTCGTCGTCGTCGTCGTTGTCATCGTCGTCGTGGTCATCATAGTAGTGCGGCCTCTACTGCATTCCTCGCGTGTTCTGCCATGAGACAGACACGAGTTCATCCTCTCGGAACGGGGTTTCCTAACCCGCGCTCTACGAGGCCTTCCTCGGTCGCTCTTCTCTCTCTTTCTCTCTTTTTCTCGCACACACGTACTCTCTCTCCGCTCTCGTCCGGTACGAGTGACGAGAGGCCGAGTTACACGCGTATAATCCGTTCGCGCGTCCTTCCTTCCTTCCTATGTCCGCCCCTCCCGCCGTTGCATTACGCGTCGCCGATGAAGACAACGATGAGACTACCGCCGCGACCCGCGATCCCGCGTTGCCACCACTTCCACATACAACATGATAAAGCCTGTCGCTCGTCGTCCTCTTTGTCTGCGATCCTCTCTCTCTCTTTCTTCCTCGCGCGTGCTTTTGCGAAGATCGTACGCAGCGAGCGCCGTCCTCCGAACGAACGAACGAACGAACGAACGAGAGAACCTGCTCCTCTCCGACCTCCGCGAGCGAGTTCCCTCCGATTCTGTCGCGAACTCTCTTCTTGTTCTCTCTGCTACTGCCCTCTTCCTCCTTCACCTCGTTGTCGTCTTCTTTTTCTTCTTCTTCTTCTTCTTCTTCTCTACCACCACCGCCTCCTCTTACGGCGGCGACGGCGGTTTTCAACGCGACGTTCTCTCGCAGCCGCAAAGTCGATGCGCGACGAAAGCAGCACGGTCACACGAATACACGACGGGCCAACGATCCATAGCAGAGTCTTACCTTACAGTCTTATCGAACGCAATCTACGGACAATGAGAAATGGCACATGATTTATATATATATACACACACACACATATATATATAAGTATGCGCTGTCTATTTATTTTTCACGTCCAACTATCGTCACTATACACGCGAACGTTTTTTCTATTTATCATCTCTCTCTCGATCCGTCAATCGAGCACGGCGCACTGATGTCGCGGACAGTGCATGTTATCAGTGTCCGCGTCCTCGTCGACGACGTTCCCCGCCGAGCGCGCCAACGCGAGCTTCCTCCTCCTAGCTTCTCCACCACCTCGTTCTTCTCTTCCTCCTCCTCCTCCTCCTCCTCCTCCTTCTCCTCCTCGTCGTCGTCGTCGCTGTCGCTACTGGCGTCGCCGACGATCGCTATCGGGACGTCGCGCCACCGCGCGCGCCAACAACAACGAGGATGTCGGCGATGATACGTCCGGCGAAAATATTATCGCATCACTGGAGCACGACCACCAGCATGGCTAGCATCGTCAGACGAGCGATTTACTCGTCGGCACGTCGCGACGCAATGGCGTATCGATTCTGCTGACGACGGCGACGACGACGGCGACGGCGGCGGTGGCGATGTGGTGGTGGTAGTGGTGGTGGTGGTGGTGGTGATGGTGGTAGCGATGGTGGTGGTGGAGCACGCACCGTATGATTGCGAACAAGACAACGACGGATAGCGGTCACTCGCGGCGACCGGAGCACGCATATTTCTTACCGCGCCGCGAGAGAGGCTGATTGCAACGATGATTCCAATCCCGAGCGACGTGGAAACACCGATGGACCATCCGTTGATGCGAGAGCGCACGCACGAGCTGCGATGCGAATATTTTTCTGTCTTTCCCTCTCACTCCCACTACATTCTCTGTTTCTCTCGTTCTATGCACAGACGCTAACGAGACAACGGCAGACTCAGCGATATATACGCACGTTTTTTTTTTCCCGTACGCACCTCCTCGCCCGCCGCGCTTTCATGGACGACGACCGTGTAGATGCTCCGTCTCCTCGTCCTCTCTCTCTCTCTCTCTCTCGCTCTTACTCCGCGAAGTCTTTTTTGCCTTCACGCGCGAGCGGAGGGAACCTTCTCCTTCTCGCTTTTTTGCTCTTCCTCCTTTTCTCTCTTTCTCTGTCTGTCTGTCTGTCTGTCTGTTTCTCCCTGGCGATGTCCGCGCCTGTAGTCTGTACATATGCGCGCGCGACCGCGTAAACACGAGGCGAGAGTCGGAGACGGCGGAGCCCTTGAGAGAGCGAGACTGTCTCCTCTCATGCACACATATGCACAGAATAACATACACGCGTGCACGCATACACTCTCTCTCGCTTCCCGTCTGTGTGCGCACGCACGCGTATACGTGTACGTCGAGTTTTCTCAGTGTGGGTTTTCAACCGGCTCAATGTACCGCGTGGCGAGAAAATAAGGACTTTGTCCACTGGTGTTTACTTACAATATGATACTCTTTTCAAATTTCTTTGCATCTTTTTGATTCAACAGCTTTTTGCATTTAACATAAAAGCTGCTTTGCCACTGCCATAGGATATTTTTTAATATAATAAATTTATGTTTACACTCAGATCCAGTGAATAATTAATTATATTAAAGAATCTTATCGTCTTATAAATATTATTTATCCATCAACAATAGCGGAAATTCATACAAACATTTTACTCTTATTTAATTTATTCTTGAAGTTATATAAAAACTATTTTTATTTCAAAGAATCTTGTAATTGTTATAAAGCTACTTTTTCTGACGAATCGCAATCAAAATGTCTTAAGTCCGATTGTACAACATTACTTCGATTTTAAGCGAAATTTAAAACTCTTTTTGTCTCTGTCTCTTTTTCGGCTTTAAAACAGAGGACATAGAAATTAGTATTCTCTGAACGATTTCCCTTGGAAATCTGTGGTATATGGAAATATAGTTCATCTCCGATTGTGCTTACGAGAAAAGAATTTTTTCCGAATTCCTTTTCATTTTTAAATCCTCACTTTTAGAATCCTACGTTTAATAACGTTTTTCATTAGCAGAACTAGTGCGCACTCAGTGCATATTAAAACTGTTGTACATTCTCTATTCTAATCTAAATTTAATCTAAACAATTCTAATCTAAAAATGAAATATCTCAATTGATAAAATGTCCAATGTGTATTTTATCAAATAGTACAATGAAATGTATTGAATATTTCGCGGTTTAATTCATTTCTATGTTTTTATTAAACGTACATCTTTATGTCGATTTGTGTACAACGGTTTTAAAGCGCACTAGTTCTGTCAATGAAAAACGCTGACTTTCCAGTCACCCGGTACATGCACGCGCGCGTTTCTGCACGCACGCCTCGGTGTGCGTGCCGCGAGCTCCGCTCGGTCGCGCACACGCGTTCGCTCGGTGGTAAAGAATCACCGTAAACTCCGCATGCCTGTCTCGTTCCCCTCTACGAGCATCGCGGCCGTCGCCACCGCCGCCGCCGCCGCCGCGGCGACGACGACGACGACGTCGGCCACTCCTCCCTTTCTCCCCCCCCTTCTCGCGACAACCGGCCACCTACTGCGCACCACCGCGCCTGTCGCGAACAGTGCTGGAGCAAGAAACCAACAGTCTCATGTCACTACATTAATTGTCATGCAGAATCTATGGAAAATGCTCATATTATTCTATTCTATTTTCGAATTACCGGAATTCCTTGCAATCTTAGTTGTTGCATCTTGGTTTTTGCAAACGTTTTAACTCCTTATGCTTTGTTTCTATAGCTATAACTTGTGGCTGTGGTATTTAGAAGGAAGAAGTCTGCTCGGAGCACTTGGGATAATACAGTATTGTGATTTATTGTCTTTCAGACTCCGCTCAGTCCAGGACAAGGATGTAGGAACAGAATGCAGATAAGGATGATGTACGAACTTTCAGGACACAATAAACCAAGAAGTTTCATCGAAGCCACGACGTACTGACATCTAAAAATATGATATACAGTAAAAGAAAGCAGAGACAAAATTACGGAAGAATAGCGTTTTACTCTTTTATCAAGGGACCCACGATATACGAATTTCTTTTGTCTCCATTCATCTCACGGTCCTGGCCACACATCCCTGCGTCCCCTGGTCCCCTGGTTCCCTCGTCGCGTCGCGTCGGCCGAGGAGAGCAGGTGTGTGCGCGTCATACGCGTGTGTAGAGAGTGTATACGGTGTATACACGCTGCACAATCCGCATACACGTGCAATGCGACGTAGGCCGCAACGCGCATAGCTCGGTTACGACGCGCGGTCGGCGGCACGTGTCTGTGTGAATCGAACGCCGACAGCCGTCTAGTCATGTGACCTTCCCGTCAAAATAGCCTGCGTACCTCCCCGCGCGTTACGCACACAATCACACGGTTGACGGCGGCGGCATGCTGCACACGCATCCACAAGCGACGACGTGGAGGCGCGGCCGCGGCCGCGGTGTGCGCGCTCTTTGCTATCGTTGCCATCTTGTGTTCATTGTCAGGGACGGCACGAGGCTCCGGTTGTTGACAATAACGATAACGCGTTCCCATCTTCCGGAGAGCAACCCATTCCGTTCTTATCGCCTTGTGAAAATGGGAAAGATCGTTAACTAAATTCCGAGAATATTATTTAGAAACTCAGAGGCGCTCTTCGACGTCTTCTGGAAATGTTAAAACATAGAATATAATTAAATGATAAGACAACAGAAATAACTTTATCAAGTAATTAAGTTGTTAAAATAGACGAATGCGGATTCATGATTTTAACATATGTCTATCGAATAGTAAATAGTATGCAAAATAGAATAAATATTGTATGTCCATTTATTATTCCTGCTCGGAATTTTAAAAACTTAGTCAAATGTAAATCATAGAATATAATTTGTACAGAATAGCTTTATCATACATTATAACTTATAAAAAAGTCTATTATTTTTGTATTACTTAATTTCTATATCTGTTTTATTTGTCCTTTTTCAATGTCTTGCCTTTCTTTTTCTTGCTGGGCACTTTTTTAGTTTTCTCTTCCTTTTTGTCTCTCGATTTCGATTTATTTTCTTTTCGTTTTTGCAGCACTTTCTTTTTCTTCTTCTTTGCCGGAACTTCATCCTCTGACGATGATGAAGAAGAATCGGTTGTCGTCGAACTAGACGAGCTGGAACTGGATGACGAACTGCTAGACTCGTCAGAGCTCGAGGGTTCTTCTTCCTTGGTAATTAATGCCGGCACAGCAATTGGCTTCGGATGGGACTTTAAATGTTCTCTCAAATCGTCTGTCAAACCACCCAAACCGATCGACGTAAAGAAGTTGATCGCGAAACGCGTGTTTTTTGGATCATCTCTGGGGAACAGTCCTTCAAACACCTCCTGCAACGTTACGTCTTTAACCCGTTCGTTCAACTTTGCCAGACCCATGTACTCGGAGAGCTCCTGAAACAAGATCTTGATAAATATTCTGTTGGAACTCGTGGTGTCTTCTTCGTTCAGTTTTATACATGAAAGTACGCTCCACGATATGGAATCTGTAAACAATAAATGCGCGAAGAATTTCGATACATTCCGCAACTTGTTCGTGTCGAGGCGGTGTATCGTGTGGTAAGAATCTTTGAAAATTTGCTCGAAAGGCGTCACATATATTTTATTAATGGCGCAAAACCGACCGGCCAGAAGGCCGAAGAACTTCTCGTACGTCCGCATTTCCGCACAACAGTCTAAAAACATATGACATAGTTCGATCTCCTGTCCAGGTTTCAGTTGCATTTTCATCAATTTATGCGCACACTCCTCGAAATCGAGCGAAGAGTGTATAGTCAGATATATAGTCCGTCGAAGTGCGGTCAGATTTGTTTCCGTATTATCGAGGATTACTCCTTCTTTTCCCTCCGTTTGTTCCGTGCTGCTGTCATTATCCGAGCTTTCCTCTTCCCCATCTTCATCGTCGCCTTCCGAATCACTGACGTCCGAGCCAAGAATTTCTTTACACAATTGCTTGTACTTCTCTTCGGAGGCAAGATAGTCGGTGTCAAACTTGAACACATTTAATATATCTTGCGCTTCCATCTCGTCGTCCAATCTTATTAAATGAGTGATTTGATGTTCCTCCTCCACGAGATCCAGTTCTTCAGGTACAGCCTCGTGATCCTTAAATCCATCCTTCCTGATCTGGAACATAACTTCTATCATATACTGGACTCGCTTATCCAATTGTCCCTCGTGCAGTATGTTTCTCAACATTTCAAAGATAGCCTCGATACCCCTTCGCGAAACCTCTGTCAGTTTCATACCACATTCCTTCAAAAACGCAATAGCTACTTCGACGGAATCGTCAGTTGGCGTTTCCAGCAGTAGAGTCAAGATTTCCAAAGCGATAATCTCATAAGCCACACGCTGGTTAACCAAATGTGCTATAAAAGTTCCTGAAGAAATGCACAAAGGTTTATCGTTCCTTTTGAATCCACGTTTGAATTGCAGAACAAGCCGCTTCAGCACCAGCTCGCCTATGTTAGGAAACTTGGAATTGATTATAGATGTCAGTGCCGCGTAAACTGGAGTGAATGTTGGAGACGCAGCTTGTGCCTGAATAATAGACCGTGCTAACAGACCTCTACCTCGGACAATATTCTCGCGCAGCAACTCTCGCGTTATGATCCCGATGTTGCTGGTATTCACTTTATTGATGTATCCGTGAATAGATTTCTTCAACGCTTCCCAGGCAATACGTTGGTAAGCGGCTCCTGACTTGTCAGTGATCTCTGCTTGGAGCATACGCAATTTGGCAGGTGGGATGTACGCGCCTCCCGTCCTCGAGGTCAAAAGATCTACCGTCCGCTTCTGCTTGGTATCCTCCGGATTCTCTCGCGCTTTATCCGGTTCTCCGTAATACCTGTTGCCGATCTCTTCCCGCGGCGAATTCCGCTTCCCACCTGCTTCGCCGTCGCTGTCCCTGAGATCTCCACGATCGTCGTTGTACCTACGATCTCTATGATCGTCACGCCGGGAATTCCGATGATCGTTATCGCGCTTTGAACCGCGATAACTGTCGTCCCGCTTGGAACTCCTGTGCTCGTCATTGCGTCTGGAACTCCTGTGATCATCGTAGTACCTGGAACTCCTGTGATCGCCGTTATGCTTTAGTTCTTTGAAGTCGTCATGTTTACGGTCCCTGCGATTACGAGAACGTTCCTCGTTCTCGTCCTCGTCCCTTCGTGAATGCGATCTCTTCATCTCGTATAACCTCAAATTGTCTCCGCCGCGGATTTTCAACGACTGTGTACTCGCAATTAGGTTATTCTGTACATGTAATAATTATTTGATTACGTACTGCATATTATATACTTTTAATTACATCCGTGGAATATAATTTACAAAGGTATGATGAAGGAATTCACTCGTTTCAACTTTGAATCACTCAAAATTAACTCAAGTCTTTCTAGACGACAGGCACTCGGAAAACATAACCATAATCGCAATAATCACACATTTTAGTTACTTTTCTAAATGTACGCAATAGTCAGAAGATGTCGCTCCGGTCATTGCATCAATTCGCGCCAATTTCAATTTAAAGTGCAGTTTTTCAAATTATGGGTCGACATTGAATAAAACAAGTGTCGAAAATCGCTATTTTCAGATAAAATATATAACATAGCAATAATTTCAAAGTATGAAAATAACAATAAGAAGTTAAAATAAAATTTTATTTCTTACGAAGCTGTGAGAGTCGGATCTTACAATTTTACTCATAAAAATCTTGTAATAAAAATATTATAACAAAGTTATATTATAGTAAATAAAATTATCTGCTTCTTATATATGTATATAAATTTAGCAGATAATATAATGGACTTCAATTATATTTTTCTCATAGAAGCAATATTATTTTGTAAGATGAGACTTTTGCACTTATTTTTATCAAGCTACGAAGATCTGTAATTGCATTGTATTAATGCAATTACATGTGTCATGTCATATCATATCTCCTATTCCTTAATATAAATAAATATTAATTAAATAAAATTAAATGAAAAAATAGAGATTCTAAACATAACATATAAATAAGGAAAAACATATAAGACATTTTGCTTCTACTCCTATTTTTTTCATTTCTTCAATTCTTAATAATAATTCTTGTTCCTAATATTTTTTCCATTATGCATAGAATCTAAATCAATATGGCAACTTAATGCTGCATGCTTATTGATCCAAATGATCTTATCCAGTGATGTTATATATTTATTTGATATGTCCTTATTATATGTTATTATAGGATCCTTATTATATGTTAGAGACAGAAATCTTTTAATAAAAGTCAAAACATGTGAGAAAGTCATGCGTTGATTAATCTAATCGTGTTTCAGGAACTCCCATTCTATATTTGTATACTTATATTCATGTTACTTTTAAATTACAATAATATAATTAAAATTAGATATTTTAAAGACATTAACAAATAAATTTCTGTATATTATGTGTCGAAAATACATATGAGAAGAATTGTTTGGTTTATAATACCTTTTTTCTTACAAAATTATTATTTAAAAAATTTAAACATTTTATCGTGTATCTTTAAACAAAGTTAAAATTACAAAAGTGAACAAGTTTATTGAAATATTTATAATTTTATTAGTATCTATAATAAATTTTTCTAATAAATTTACCAATTCTGTACTTTCACACACACAATCAAGATATGCAATCGAGTATACTCTGATATGTAAAAAAGTGTCGCGATTCTTATTACAGAGTCTCTATTATATGTTTGCCTAATATCATCAATTTAACTCCTAAATTTAAACATTGAAATTTGCGGCTTTTTACTTTATTTACTTCTTGCAAAATATGTTTTTCTCATAATTTTCTTTCATGAGAACTTGTTAATCACGAATGTTCTGCAATACCGATAGATTATATGAGTTTCTCGAATATACCGCCAAATTCTGCGCTTCACTCATCACTGTAATAATAGAAGCTTAGAATTGAATTCCGGACTTCACGAAAATAATTATTTTTTTAAAAGAGAAAAAAAATTTGTGCGTGTCTAAATAAATGTATGAGAATAACAACAGAAAATTAAAACAATGGTTGTGATATCAAGGATTTTCTCTCGCGATTACAGTAGACTGCAAGTAGCGAAAATAATACGTAGGTTATGTTAGATTTGATCACATTCTATTCCTGTGCTTTTTCAATCTTTCTCAATTTGCTGCACAATAACGAAACAAATTTATTAAATTATATTACCGGCAACAATGACATTCACAAAAGTGAAATTAAAATTTTTTAAAGTTTAATTTTTCTATTTTATTGTTTCAAAAGATTTGTTATACTCGGGATATCGCTATGATTAAAATGAGAATAAATACATTTGAGATAAATTTTCACAATTAAAAAAAATAAAATACAATTAAAAATATTTTTTATTTTGTGTCATTCATTTATTTCTAAATTTTTTCATTTTTTTTTTAAATCTTCTCTTTTGTGATGTTGAAGAATTTGATTGTTATATGACAATATCAAAGTACGACTTTGTTCTTATCATATACATAAAAATTTTAAGGCTATACAAAGTTATTTTTTTAGGCTATGCAGTTAGAGGAAATTTCTCTACAACCACTCAAGACTCAGTACTACAAGAATCACAAAATAATAAGATATCAAAACAAAACATTAAACAGAAGAAAGCGATATCTGATAGGTATCGATTTATATATCCTGAATTTTTACCAGATCCAGATCCCAAGTATCGTAACTCACTCCGAGAAAAGTTGGAGCGCATGGATATGATGGCAAGGCGCACACACGTAGCGATACCCGAGTTCTATGTTGGTTCTGTATTAGCTGTAACATATTCTGAACCACATGCTCCTGGAAAAGTTAATAAGTTTGTTGGCATATGTATCGAGCGAAAAGGATCTGGCCTGAGAGCCACATGTGTATTGAGAAACATAGTTAATAACCAAGGAATCGAAGTAATCTATGAGTTATATGATCCTGCAATACAGAAGATAGAATGTCTTAGGTAAATATAATTATTGGCTGCATTCAGCAGAACAGACAAGCTTTGCAACTGTGTAAGATTCTTTGACATAATTGGTTATACATTTAAATCCAGTAAAGAATTGGAGTAAGAACTAATCATATTTTAAAAAATCTTACAATATTTGTGTGTGCAAAACTGTTTTTTCTGTTGTACAATCATTTACATAAATTGCTCTGAAATGTTTCTTTTCGATGATTTTACTCATGACACATATTTAGGCTTGAAAGAAGATTGGATTCGCATCTACGATACTTGCGGGACGCACCAGCAGAATATAGTACCTTTCCTTTTGATATGGAACCAGAGTATTTGCCAGAAGATGCACCAGTACCTGTGAATGAGATCAAAGTGCAACTTAATCCTCGTCCATGGTTAGAGAAATGGGAGCGTCAAGAGTTGAAAGGTATAACAGAGTTACAGCTTTCTAATAAACGCATTATGAAAGCTAAAGCTACAGCGACACCTTGGGAAAAGTACGATTTAATGAAAAAATATCGGTAAGAAAACAAGACATAATAATCTTTTTGTAATATTCTTTTTAACGATTATTCGTTTTAATTTATATCTTCTTATTTAGGGAAACTATCCCCAAGGAGGATCAAAATGAAATATTTGATGAAGTGTACACAAAATTACATGAAATGGAAATTACTAAACGTAGGCAAAAACACAAGCGCACTTTCGTACGTCCGCAGAAAACTGGGTAAACTTTTGTATAGCATTTTTCAATCTGTATAAGGAATTAGAATGAAATAAATATATTTGTTTTTTGTTACAATTCTATATCTTTGTAATGATATTCGCACCGTTATCATAATCTATCGTAATTGTCATAGAAAAAATTAGGATTTTATACAATTATTGAATTCACATGAGTGAAAAACTCGATATTTGATTAAGGAGATTCTTCATGTCTAATATTTCTTGTAAATTTATACAATTTCCAGATCAAGCTAACTGCACACCGATTATTTCGGGGAGTTAAGATGCTTATCAAATCATTACTTGCAATAATAATATTAAATTGTTTGTCAATTTGTGATACTATTATTCTTGCTTTGATTTAAGACTGTGTTTCAAACTGATACATAAACAATAGCTTGATCTAGAAATTATATAAAATCATAAGAAATATTATTAGGCACGAAAGACCGTCTTGACTGAATATGACGTTTTTTACTCATGTGTATTTAAGTTTATAGGTCTATTTTCACTTAATATTAATTACTGAATTTATAAACAAAGATTTTTAGTATTAATTATAAGAAAAAAAGAAAATAAATAGATTTTCTGTAGAAATCTCGTAAATATAAAGTTTAAATAATGCATATATATATATATATATATAATATATATAATATATATATATATATAACTCATAATTTCGAAGTTTTTAATTAATGAACTAATTTGAATTAATTTTTATTGGGAAGTGAAAAATATACAATAGAAACTGGAAAACTCAATTAATCCTATATTTCTATATCGCACTGTCCGATTTTTATAATCATCATTCTTCTGTTCACCATTTTAACACTTTGTGTACATACATTTCAGTAGGCAAAAACCTAACATCTTATCATATATGGCAACGTTTCATTATATATGAATTTTTATGAAAGTTAAGAACAATATTTTTCTGTAAGAATACAAGTTAAATATTGATACGTGTTTAAGAAAAACATTTAAGAGATTTCATTTTTACAATATACATATCGTTTAATGAAATATATATACTGCAGAGTTCGGAGTTGAACTCTAATTTTCGGACAATGTCAAAGTGTTAAAATAGATAAGTCTTCCTTCTTTTGCTTTTCTTTACTTACTGCCTTAACAATATATAAGAGATCATTTTTTAATAGATTAAATTAACTCGATAGTAAAGCTACATTAATTTCTTTAACCATTTTAATACGATGTAACATTTTGATGAGCTGTTCCTTCGCGAGGGGCGATGTCGAGTACCATACCGGACTATCTGGGACGCAACTACGTTCTGGCAATAGATAGAAGACATCATTTCTCGTCTTAACGCTTTCAGGACTGAAATATTTCAAATACAAGATAGTGTAACATAGCAATCAAAATTTACGCAATAAATTAAACTTAATGTTTTTGTTTGTTCAGTCATAATATACATACATACCATTTCGACAAGTAGAATTCGTATAATTTAACAGGGCATTTTAATGCATTCTCCTCATTTTCTTGTTGTTCATATACCTTCTTTTTCCGTGAATTAGCTTCTTTAAAAAGGAATAATAAATAATAAATAATAATTTGTATCAATAAATCAGCATTAATAAAATTTGTATAGTATATATGTAAATACATTATAACTAACCAAGAGCTGATTGTGGCGGATAAAATCTTAGAAGGACGTTTCTTGAGCCAGGAACTTTTCCTGCCACTGCCGTGGGAGGTTGAGCTGCTGGATTACGCTTCCAATGCTTCATAATATGAGAAAAAGAAAGTTGCATATGCTCATCTACTGTCTAAAAAAGATATGGACAAGCATTCGATAAATATTTATTAATGCTGCAACAAAATATTACAATAAAGAGTTATATGATTTATTAACCAATCTCATGGTGGACTTACCACAAGATTAAAATGTTTCGTATTAAAGAACATGAGCGTGCTTAACAGAACATGTGGAGAATGGGCACCTAATTGTTTGCATTCCCATAAATGTTCTTCTTCTACCCTAGTCACGATATATTCTGCAAAACAGACAATATGGTGTTCGAAAAGACAAAATGTTGGAAATAAAAATGTGCAATTACGGATAGCAAAACACTTACGTGCATCGTTGAACAGTACAGAGAACCTTTTCGCTACCTCGTTTAGGCAATCTGTAAATTTCTCATAGTACGGATCCGTGAATATGTTATCAATCCTGTGGTTTTCAAATAGATATTGCTGTATTCCTAAAATAAATACATGAAAAAAATATATTGAATAATACTAAAACCAAGGTTTATGAAAAAAAATAGGGTAAAGAGAGCTATTTCGTCCATTTCTCACGATATTATTCACGTTTCTGAACAGCGTATACTGAACTTTAGAGATCATATTTGTACTTTCAAGAAACAATCATGATTGTATAAAGTAGTTATAAATAGGAAATGGAAAGTTATTTTTTAAAAGTAACAAGTTACAGTTACTCGTTACTGAATAGAAAGAGTAACAAGTTACTGTTATTAGTTACTGATTTTTTAAAGTAACTCGTTAATTACCGTTACTTGAGAAAGTAACTTTTCGTTACTTTTTAAAAATCGACAATCATCAATCATAGCGGACAAGTGCCTAGAGGCTTTCTAGTCTCAAGCTATGAGTGACCTGTGTCCAATCATGTGTAAAGTAACGATAAAAATAATTGTAAAATTCGTTATTATTACCAAAAAAATATAACTACATTATCGTTATGGTTATAAAAAAAAAGTAATGTAGTTTACCAGTAAAGTTACCAAAAAAGTAACTTGTAACTGTAATTTCATTACAAGTAACGAGTTACATTTCCTGGTTATGTTAGTTAAGTTACTGCAAAAAGATATTGTATGTTGTTGTAAATTTTATATAACTTTAAAGTTGAAAATGACGGAATAACTTTGCTCTATCTTATCTGATATATCTAATTGTAAATGCTGATTCTCGTATTATTCAAAAGTTGATTTACCTAAGCAAAGATAATATATTGTATCGGGAGCATATTCTGCACCATTCGGTTTTCTCACTTCTTTCACAAAGAGGCATAGTGAATAATTTAACTCGTCCGCGGTAAGTTGTAACAGATCTGTTTTGAACATTCTTTCCCACGACCTGTATATTTTTAAAATCATCCATAGTAATATTTCTGTCTCGTTGTTATGTAAATAGAAACAGTTACGAACCCATTGCCTCCATGCATTTACGCCAAATGTATATTTTAATGCCATATTAGCATCAGGTTTTTCTATCGGCTCCATAATTCGTGGTTGCGGGAGTGGCTGTGATTCCGGCGGTGGCATCAATGGCACATCATTTGTACCAGAGACGCGTCTCATCCGTTTGGCTGGTGATGATCGAGGTTTGTATGGCACAACACGTTTCCTTCCTCTAGAAGCAACCATTAATCGGTCTGATTGTACTGAAAAATGTATGAATAAAAAAAATATGTTAACAAATGTATAATTTTAACAATAAATGATGAGACTTGATTATTAATATATCATATTAATTCATTTTTAAGCTACATTACATACCATCGTTGTCCAAAGCGTTTTCTGGTGGTGCCTGCGTAGCTGTAATTGTGTTCGGAGTCAAAGCAGCTTCCAAATCGACTGCCGGCTCATCTATTTCCCCCGTGGCCATTTTTAACGCCATTTGCAACATGTCATCTCCAAAGGCATTACTGGAATCAACTGCTTCTGGACTGAAACCATCACTATGTAAATTGGCTTGACCAGCTGTGTCATCTTCCCTAAACAGAAATATTTGCTTTTGGTGCGTGAGATAAATAGAAATAAAATTTTTAAGAAACAAATGAATATAACAATTTTGTATCTTTGGCTAGATTATCAGCTTAATATTATCTTGTGAAGTATTAATGCATTTCCTTCTATTCTAAATTTATTCAGTGCAGAATTAAACATCATATTGTTATTAAATATTGTAGACAGTTCTGCAGTCAAATTATCTGTAAACTTTAAATGAAAGATAAAAAAAGTGCATTGCAACAGTCCTTGCGTTATATAAAAAAATTTCTTTATTTGTTTCACCCGAGTTAAATACATGCTCTTAGCCTGAGACCATGAATTTTAAATTTATTTTAAAAATTGATGAAAATTGTTTTGAATTCATGAAACGAGTTTAATTGTATGACTTCGCAGCTTAACTGATTTAGATAAGACAAATTCGTTAAACAATATATTAATGCAACGCAAGAACTAGCGTTCATTGTTCTTTCTTATCTTTGATTTAAATTTTAATTAGCTGAGTCATTCTAATATTCTAATTTTCAATCCATAAACAATATTATTGTTTACCTGTCGCCTACTGAATCCGAATCACTGTCGTTGATTTTTTTTCCGGTAGCTACCATCTCGGCCATCATAAGGAGTTCGGCTTCATACGGATCAGCTGGTATTTTCTCTTGTATTTTCTTGATATCTTTCATAATTCCTTTAGCACTATTTCTCGTAGTAGGTATGAATAGGGGAACAGGAATGGGCAGAGGAAAAGGCATTGGAACTGGGAAAGGCATACTATACATATGCATTGGAAATGGAACATAAATTGGAACTGGTATGGGTATGACCACCTGTTGAACGGTTTCCGTCGTTTGTGTCGCCTTTGTACAAGGATGAGGACGCACATAAACCCCTTTTGTATGTACTATAGGCTTGCACTGTATACTCTTGTTATGCACTTTCACTGGACTAGGTGGTCTGGTAATCACTTGTTGCTTGCATACCATCTGTGTTGTTTGATTCGCATTCGCAGACATTACCACACTGTTTTGCTGCGGTGTCGGACTTGTTGATCCATTCCCTATCGTAGCTAAGCTCGTTACGGAAGAGATAACGGGCATAGTTTTCTTATTTTGTATCTCGTTGGGAATAATTTGATTCGTACTTCTTTGTGGTAATGTAGTCCTCTTGGGCAAGCCTGTAGGCACGGGATCATCGCTCGACGGTATAGTTATAGGGGATTTAGTGTATTGTGCTTGAAAATTCATGACGCAATTGTACGAACAAAAATTACGTATTGTCGCATCTGACATTGTGAGATGATAATGCGCTAAAGAATATTCTTTACATAAATCACAGTTAATTCGTTTTGCAGATACTGCATTGATGGAAACCTACAAAAAAAATTTTTTTAATTATACTTATCTAATAATACGTTGTTATAAATCAATTCCAGACAATATGGTTAATGTGATATTGATTTTTATATAAATGAATGTGGTCCATTAGAATTGTACATTGCCAATGTTGACATTGGAAGACAACGGTAGTTCTTTTCTACCTAAATTTTTTTTCGTAGGATCAATCACAAGACAATCGAAACACATCGTAGAACAATCAATGTTGAACTACTTGATTACATTGACCAAATGTATACAATGACCATGTTGTCTGTAACCAGCTTTATTTTAAGTAATAAAATACCTGATATAATGTTAAACAATTTAAGCTGCACATCATCAGAGTTTGTCCCGTTTTTGATAATTCCTTCTTAATCATATCGAAGTTATATTTCTTTACTTTACACCAATTACATGGAACTATTTTCCTATTTGTTATAATAAATATATTTAAACACGTCTTGTTACAAAACGTATGAGGCTCATTCTCATAAAACACAATAAAATGTTGCTTATTAGGTAACTCAAAAAATTTTTTGCAGGTAGAGCATTGTTCAGGTTTGACTTGTTTCACAAACTTAAATGCAGCAAAGCAAGGTTCGCTGCATATAGCTACTGGAGTGCTATTGTATATTTGAACCTCACAGTGTACAAGCTTTTCCTATGAAAAAGAAAAAAATTACATGATATTTAAAAATGATCTATAATAAATTTAGCGAATGAAGAACAAAAAAATTATTTTACCTCCTTACAAACGCTGCATGGCTTTTTCTCTGTAGCTGGTGGCTCCATAGAATTTAATTTCGAATATTTTTCCATACAGTCCTGGGTACAAAAATCTTTAAACTGTCCTTTCTCTCCGACTGGCGCAAGAAAACCGTCTGTGCTAAAACTTATGTCTTTCTGACAATAACTACATACTTTTAAACCCTTTTTGAATTCTTCTAAACATGTCGAGCAACAAAACTGCCTTACATCACATCCAAATCTCACACAGTATTTCCCTAAACTCACAGCTTGAACTGTACCGTTACAATTTTTACAGTAACTTCCATACTTCCTTTGGAACTTTCCTAAACATTCCTCATTACAGAACTCCATTGTTTCCCAAGAAAGATTTCGCTCGTCCTTTGCATCTATAATTAGTAAGCAAGATGCACAACGCTTCTCTCGTTTAGAACTGGTATCATCGGTTAATATATTAATTACTTTACTATTAGCTGCTTTAAATAATGCTTTACACGTTTTCGAACATACAAGATGATTTTCTGTACCAAATTTCACCTGAATTTTGCACGCTCTTTCTTCACCACACTGCTTACATACCTCTTTACTAATCTCTTCCACCTCTGAAGTTTTTTCGTCATCAATATTAATAACATCCGTTGCTGGAATTAAATCTTTTGTTGCTGACTTATCTGGAATAGTTGCTTTCTGCTTTACAGTACTTTCTGCTTTATTTTCATTTGGAGTTACTAATTCTTTTTGTGAAATATTTTTCTGAAGCTCGGAATTAGATTTGCTACTTTTCTGTGTTGTTTCCTCGTATTCTGAATCTTTAGCAACTACAGATTCGCTTTGATTGTCGTCTATTGTTTTACCAGACTTATTTGGTATTATTACTTTCATGCTATCTGGAATGATACATAATTCATCATCTTGTCCTGGCAATACATCGGTCTGCTCTTCGTCTGTTTCCATCGGTGTAATTTCTTCGATATTTTTTTTTGCCTGCTCATCTTGTTCATCGTGTGATTTCGTGGAGGACATATTTCCTGCTCCTATTTCCGACGTACTGGTATCCGGAAGATCAATGTCCATTGAAGTATTTTCGAGAGTATCAATGGTTGTTTGTACATTATTTGACGTTTCAGCAATATTATCCACATCTTTATCGATACTATCATCGGCATCCTTTGGATCGTTTAACGCAGAATCGGTACTAAGCTTCTCATTACAATCATTATTTCTAGCATTTACCGCGTCTTGCAAATTATTACCTTGCTCGTATATCTTTTTAAAGCTGAGCCCGTTCTCGAGGCTGTCGGTTTCCACCTGTTCCACGTTTTCGGATATAAGATTGTCACCGCCAAATGGATCCTCCGCGTCTATAGATTGGCCTTCAATCTGAGAATCGTCCTGTTTGTCATGAGGAAATTGTATAAACTCTGTGTTTTCGGGCTCAATGTTCTTCTCAGACACATCCTTTTCGGAATTTTCTAAATTACTGTCTGAAGATTCCGATTCTACTTTTTTCTCTAATGCAGCTTCAATTTGTAACACTTGCATGTCATCAGCATTATCACTTGATTCATCTGGGATATCACAATCTTTAGTATTTTCTTTAGATGACGTTTCAGATTCGTCTGCAACATCATCAGTAGACGTCCTATTGTCATTTATAGTATCATCTTGAACTTTGCAAGAGTCATTAAGAGCTAATGAAATCTCTGGGTCACATATGTCGGTTAAATTGGATATATCTAGTTCTGTCATTTCCGCAGCTACATGAATCGATTCGTTTTCTTTGCAGGAACTTTCAACTGCAGTATTCTCTGCAATTGTTTCGACTGCGTTATTCTCTCCGATTGTTTCAAGTGCGTTAATCTCTTCGACTGTTTCAAATGCATTAGTCTTTCCGATTGTTTCAACTACGTTACTTTCTTCAATTGTTTCGACTGCGTTATTCTCTTCGATTGTTTCGATTGCGTTATTCTCTTCAGTTGTTTCAACTGTGTTATTCTTTTCAGTTGTTTCGACTGCGTTATTCTCCTCGGTTGTTTCGATTGCGTTATTCTCTTCGATTGTTTCGACTACGTTATTTTCTTCGATTGTTTCGACTGCGTTATTCTCTTCGACTGTTTCGACTGCGTTATTCTCTTCGGTTATTTCAACTGCGTTATTCTCTTCGGTTGTTTCGACTGCGTTATTATCTTCGGTTATTTCGATTTCGTCATTTTCTTCGAATGTTTCGACTGTATTATTTTCTTCAGTTGTTTCGATTGCGTTAAGCTCTTCGATCATTACAGCCTCACTGCCATTTTCAGATGCTTCAACTGCTGCTTCAATTTCTGTATTGTATTCCTCAACGGTTTCTGAACATGTATTAGAATCGTTCACTTCTATATTTGATATAAACGAGTCTTTCTCATAGGCTATTGTAGTTTCTTTAATTAATTTTTTTGTTTCATCAAGCACTTTTAAAATTTCTTTATCGTACTGTGATAGTTCAGACTCATTTTCTACAACTTTTTTAATACAACTTTCAGTACTTTTTTTTTTATTCTCGGAGTTGCTCACAATTTCTGGTTGAAATACAATATTAATATCCTCCGAAGATACTGGATCATCTACTGGATCGTCATTGGAATCCATTATCACTTTTGGCTCTTCCATGGAGGATATCTAGAAATGCATGATAAACTTTAATAAAATATTCGCAATTTTATAACAAGATACTTATATCGTCTAGAAATTTAACAATGTGATTAATTACACAAGATAAATATTATTTTTAATACATTCCCGTCATATTTATTATATTCTTTGTCAAAAAGAACACAAACATGATACAGTGCATGAATTCTTGAAAATATGTTTAACAAAAAAAAACGAACAATGCCTTGAATATAGTAGAGGATAAAGCTCGAAAAGCAAGGAAATAAAAAGAGATAATATTACAGATACGAGCAGACATCAACATCGTTCCCAGGAATACCAGGAATATAGGTTAGGCGAAAGTCCCGCTCGCGCCGTCATGCGTTTCCCTACCTGATACTGTCAAAGTAATCGGTCGTCGATTCGATATCGTCGAGCTCAAGTCAGTTTAGGCTTCAACGGGACGAAATACCGCGAACACGTCACGTATCGAACGATATCGCGTATCCATTAGCAAATGTTCACAAACGACCGTCTGCTGCTTCGCTAGCCGGGGAACACGGCGAAGTGACGCGCAATCTGTGCAACGACGCGACGCTATAAACCCCTGCTAACTTCACGTCTTCACACCCCAAATCGCGCGAATCGTTCAAATCAAACGACGCGATTACCGAGAGTCCGTGGAGTCCGGAGTACCGGTTACAGCGACGTTCATTCGACGCGATCGAAGATCGAACCGGCGTAGCAACGATTGTCAACGACCGTACGCTAATTGTGACTAACTTCGTTTCGCAAAAATCCCGATCGCGAAAAGAAAAGGATATTGCTTGCTTGTCCAGAATGTCCAGATGGATTCGCGCGTAAAAATACACGGAGGGGCGAACCAATCGCACGCGTAAACGCTGTAAAATGGTCTTCGTATCCAGATTCACGATTGGTAATGACCGACTGTGATAAGATTTCTAACTTCAGACCTATTCTGTTAAATTTAATAGAAAACAATTATATAATAGAAAATTAACAGATAATTATTTGAACAAAAAATTATTCTCTATTAAATTTCTTTTCTTTTTTTTTTCTTATATTCATGACGAGATAAATCGAGGATAAAAATTTGAATGAGTGTCACATTTAAAAATGAATATCACTCATGTCAGATTCTTATTAGATTCTTCAAATTGGATGCTTTGAAAGCACTATTTTCTATTTGAATAAAAATTATCACACAGATATCATTCTATCTTTCGTACTCACTGAAAGAATGATTCAGAACTCCAAGAAAGAATAATTTTCAATCAAATCATCAAATTCGATGTTTGCATTGACTTGTGTTACTAAATGAAAAGCATCTTCTTGTTGAATGTTCCTCTAAGAATTCCAGATTCTTCTTATTATATCTATAAGTACCTCAGATACCATTGGATATCCCAAGGATTTCCATTTTAAATCCAAATCACGTCCGCACATCTATGGACATAAAATGGACATTTATCGGATGTTCGTTATACGGATGTTCTATTTGAAACATCCTATGGATGTCTGCATTTAGATTTTACTTTTATAATGTTTTTCTATTAAAAACATATATAATGTGATATTAAAATTAGTATATAAATATACATATATGCATATTTTATCAGTATTATTACCCGAAAATTATTTAATTCCAAAAAATTGTAATACTTTTTATAAACTACTTAATACTTTTAAATATTTTTAATCAAATTCAAAATTGAGGACACACTCTTTTATTGCAATACTGGGCTAACTCACATTTAGTGAAAGCTGAGAAAATTAATAAAATAGTCAGAGGATATATTGGATGATTAGCGTATTCCAATAAACATCTATTATCACACAGTAATCACTATTGCAGTAAGTTTTTCAAAAGAAAAAGATGTTCAAAATTAGTATATAGCATAGGTCCAAAATTGAATATGTTTTTGATATTCTATGGACGTATAAAGTTGTTGCATATATTCCGTGGACGTCCACAGGACGTTCGACGGACATAATTTGGACTTCCTATGAACATTCTAATGTCCAGAATCGGAAGTCCAATGAACGTACAATGGACGTCCTTGACTATCTGGGACTAGTCTTGTTAGAAGCATTATTGAAGCGTTTGTTTTAAATTAATTATATATTTTTTATGTAAAAGATAAGATAATGAAATGATTTTTTGACTTTTTAATATTTATATTTTTTATTTGATGAATATTTATTAATAAATATTTTTTTGTTTTATCACCACTTTCTTTATTTTCATAGTACTTTGTTCCAATTCTTTTAGTAAGAAATGTTGAGATTTCTAATATTAGGTGCATGACAACTCTATTTTTGCGGAATAATAATAATAAGTGAAAAAATGCCAAACTGAAGAGTCAACCAAAAACGGAGACCTTTTTTAATACATCGAAGCCAATCGAATGTTTTTTCGCCGATTTTCTAAATTCTTCTGCACACATATACAAGACGCATACGCACACACTTCCAGATTTCACACATTTTGAAGAAAATATCATAAATTTCAAAGACAAAGATTTACAGAAGAACATTTACAAAAATATTACAGAATAATACAGAATATAATGTTATTTACCGCCGTTCGAAAGCAATCGTGCCAAGCGCGCGATTTTTAAAACAAAACCCAGCGATCCCGATTTATTTACCGTTTCGAGCAATAACAACTTCGACAATTCAAGCGAGCGAATCACCGCGAAAGGAGACCACCGTGGGGACGGAATCTGATGCTGTCATTGGACGATCAATTCACAGCGTGCGCCTAACTTCATGACGTTTCCGCGGAATCGAATTCCGAAACCATCAGCGTTTCTTTCGCGAAACGCTCTCCCTTTTGAAACTTCCAGCTTCCAGGTTCGACAGTTACAGTGACATCGGCGTCGAGAAAACGCGCAAGTGCAATTTATGGAATACGTGGAAGAGGCGAGTGTGCCGATAAGCAAACAGGGCGGCTCGGCCGAGTTCAATGACCGCGCGTGAATACTCAAGTGTTCGCACGCGAGTGCACGCGAATACCGTGGATCACAGTGGATGTCGTGCGCGTCTCATATCTCCAACGACTCCAACAATTCGTTTTAGAAGATTCTTGAGATTCGCACTGAACTGTACTGGAGTGCGATGAGAAGATCTTACGTTTGAGAAGAGGTGCGGGTTGTTGTGAGCCAGTCAGGTGGGTAATCGCTTCGTCGGAACGACACTCGGCAGTGCTTGGTAAATTCGCTCAGTGTGTCGCTCGATTAATTCGACAACATGTCGCTTTTACTGAATTAACGGATAATTGTGTTATAGAATAAGTGTCCAAGGATTCTACTTGTTAGCGACGAAGGAGTTAGTAACAAGGATTGCATCAAACCGTCGGCAGAGACAAAAGTATTACAATTTGTTGGGGCGTGCTGACGGTGTACGGTTTTGAAAAGGAGGATTTAACATCAACATTGCGACGGAGAAGGTCGCGACGATTGTGGTGAAGAAAGAAAGAGGAGCAACACTCGGCGACACTCGGGCTCGGGTCGAGGCGCAAGGTGGTGCGTGACGTTTACGTCGCGCGGTGACACGCGTTTTAACGAGCGGAGCGCCGAGCGAGTGGAGAGGGCGAGCAGGAAGGACGGACGGATCAAGTGCGCGCGCGCGCGTACTTGACGACGCACACATCGCATCCAGGAGTGTGTTTATTGTCTGGTACGAAAAATCGAGCGTGCTTCCTGCACCAGGAGGTGTTGCGGCTGCTCTCCGGTTGACTGTTGTCGTCGAGGCGGAACTCGCGATCGCAGGAACCGGAGCTCCGCTCTGCCCGAAAGCACGTATTTCTCTCTTTTCCTTCCCTCTCTTTTTCTCTGTCTCTCCTTCCTTCTTCATAGTGAACGCGCGCTCGACTCATCATCCAAGGCATTTCAAAGAACGACGCGTCGTCGATCATCGTTACGGCGGAAGAGAAACGAGAAAATGGCCGACAATTGGACGCAGAATATCGCTTGCCGGTAAGAGACTATAACAGCGTGTTTCGCGCGTCTTGTGTTTTGCAAAGGGATTCCTCGCGGGAGATATTTGCGCACCCAGTTGAAATTTACGTAAACCGAGATGGAGAGGTTAGTGGCCTTAGGGAATAGCAACGTTCGATCGAGACACTCGAATACAATAATATAAATATTGACACTAGGCGGATATTCGTCTCTCTCGTCGTTACGGATCTCACGACGATTTCAAACGCGACACGCGTCTCATCGATGATTTTTGTCCTGTACTTTTTGCCATGACGAATAATGACATGTTTTGTTTTAGATACTTCAAGAATGGCACTTGTCGCGAGGGGAACAACTGCCGGTATCGACATGTACAAGGGAATAGAAATGATGCAAGTATCAACGAGGCAACATCAACCCATAGCTCTGCTTATATTGTCACTTGTCGCTTCTTCAAACAGGGAATGTGTAAGTTCGGTAGTCAGTGCCGTTTCCGCCACAATTCAGGTACCACAGATAGCAACGCCATACAGATAGATGCAACGGAGAATGCAGCCTCGGGTCAGCATACATCAAATTCATCGAGAAATAAGTAAGTTTAGATATTCAACTCATAAATCCTATTTATGCATTCAGTTCTAAATCTAGAAACACTAGGCTTGTTTTTTTAAGCTGAACTTCTTGCATGCATCGTGAAGAGAAAAGAAAGATAAAGAAAGAACCATGCAAGAATTGCTAAAAAGAGCAGACCTTCTTTAATAGAACTCCTTTATTTTACAACTTTTAGGTCAGGTTTTTTTATCTGACTAACATGTAGTTTAGACCTAATTCAACCTCACTTAACTCAATGATAATGTAAAAAATTTTTTTCTGGTTATGATTAATTATTCAATTAATGATTTTGTACTAACTTTAAAAGTTATTCACTATAAAATCATCAGTTTAGTGATTATATATTAACTAAAGATAGAAAAATGTAATTTTTATATTAACGTCAGATTAAGCTTAATTACAAGTTAATCAGGAAATAAAAAACTGGGTCTTAACGGCAGTAATCATGGTGGTATCATTATATTGTTGCACAGATTTTATACATTTTAAAAAAACTATGCAACAAAACAGTTGCGTTCAGTAGGAAAAACTGATCATTGAATGCTTAGTAAGTCTAATACGAAATTGATTCCTACATTTAGATCTCGTGAAGAATTAAAGGCAGAACTAATCATATTAAAGAATCACTGAGTAGATTTCTCTGCTAAACGCAGCCAATGTAATGATGCTGACATCATTAAAAGAATTATAGAATAGAGAGCAAAGTTTGGCTACGAGCAATTTTGTCAAAAATCCTATGAAAAAGATTATATATTATCTTCCTGTATATATCTCACTCTGTAATCTTAGGATTTTATTCTGTAATCTTAGGACTTTATTCTGTAATTTAAGCCTAACGCATAATTAAAAAGCATAAACAATAGAAATAGAGAATAAGAGACTTCAACCTATCAAAAATCGTGTATACTAGAATGCATGGTTTCTGAAAAATTGAAATCTGTTATTCTCTATTGCCTGTGCTTTTCATTGTGTCTCAAGTATTAATGATATCGTTAAAAGTTACAGAATATAGGAGCTTTATTAATTAAGGATCGACAGGAGAGAAACCTCTAGGAGAGAAACCCCGAAGACGAATTTCTTTATGTTGAAATTACGGCTAAAATACTAGATAAATCGCGTTTCAATTGCGATATTCGTAATCAGAAAAGGCTCTTAAAAGCTCGTACATAGCGATTTTTTTTTTAAAAACAAAATAAAAATTGACTTGGAATGATGTCGAAACGTTTGTTATTTATTGATTAATAAATAACAAACTGATAATTTTGTTGCGCTCCAATTACTGTGCTTTTCTTTCTTGCCACTTTTCTCTATTTATTGTTAATATTAGAGTCTTATTTCGTCTTCCACGTCTTATTTCCACTTCTTTTGCTTAAAATAAAAATTTATTCTAATATCATCCGATATGTATTATAGTGCAGTTAAGGTATACATAATTTTATTGACAAAACTTTTCAAGAATCAATTTGCAAAATCCGACTCTGTATGAACCTTTCCAGCACTATAAAAAAGAAATCTCAAAAAGTTTCATAAAAATATATTACTTCTTCGAGAAAAAAAACCAGCATAACTGATTTAGATCTGTACTTGTGTATGAATTTTTTTATATTGAAATTATAGCTAAATAGCGATATTTCACCCGATGTATACTATAGTGCAGTTGAGGTGCATATAATTTTATTTATTATAATTTTTGAAGAAATTTGCAAAATCGGCTCTGTGCGCCTTCGCAGCTTCATAAATAAAAAAAAGTTTTATGACGTAATATTACTTCTTGGAGATAAAATATCAGCATAAAAACATGAATCTACCGTAAATAAGGAGCATATCATTTTATTTATTAAAATATTTTTAAGAATGAAATTGCAAAATTTCATGTAGTGCATGTAACTACACACACAAATGAGATGTAAATGAATTGAGTTGTCACTTCTGTCGATCCTTAAGGTTACAGTGAGATAATATAAATTAGATTGAGATAGTATATAAATTTATAGGAAGAATATGTATACACACATTAGCTAAATCATGTAATGATCTATGTAATTGCAGAAAAACTGAAAAACGTACTGCTGAAGAATGGGTCAAGGCACCTGAGTTTATACCTACGACTGGATCTCCAATTGCCGGATCATCCTCTATAGATGGAATGTCATCTACTTCAGGAACATCCCCAAGCACGTCGATGCCAGTCTCGTATGCTCAAGCTGTTAATCCAACTGGTCAAGCTTCGAGCCCTTCCTTAGAACCTCTGTGTCCTTATGCAGAAGCAACTGGAATCTGTAGAAATTCAAATTGCACATATCTACACGGTGACATTTGCGAATTTTGTAGCCGTGCGGTCCTTCATCCACACAATGAAGAATTGAGGAAGAAACATAACAATGTAAGTTCTCACTTCGTTACTTATTAATTATATTGAATTAACTTAAATATTTTGTGGGTTATATTTTGTATGTCTATTTTTTGCGTGAGATAGATATTAAGAGCAAATTGAATGATTATTAAATTTCTAAGATTATGCTCACAAAGGATGAGTAGGAAAAAAATATTAAATATTAGATATAGAAACGTAATGCATAATGGATACAAATAAGATATAAGATTAATAAGATATAAATAAGATATAAATAAGAAGATACAAATTTGTCTTTTATTTTATTTGTATCTATTGTGCATTACGTTTAATCTCTATTTCCAATTTTTTCATTTCTAATATTTAATATTTATTTTTGTTTTAAATATTTCTTCTAATGTGTGTACAACCTAACTGTATTTTCGATAAATTAATATTTATTAAGATTTGTATATTAAATAATTTTTATTAAGTTTATTATATATCGAATATTTGCTAAAGAATATCTCAACTTTTTATACAGGCATGCGTGAAGCAACATGAAGCAGATATGGAATTATCCTTTGCCATTCAACGCAGCAAAGAAAAATCTTGCGGCGTCTGTTTCGAGACAATAATGGAAAAGTCCTCGCGAGAACAGAGATTTGGTATATTGCCGAATTGCAATCACTGCTTCTGCCTAACTTGCATCAGAAAGTGGCGCCAAGCCAAACAGTTCGACAACAAAATCATAAGAGCATGTCCAGAATGTCGTATCCCCTCAGATTTCGTCTGCCCTAGTATGTACTGGGTGGACACAAAGGAGGAGAAAGAAAAATTAATAAGAGATTACAAAGGCGCCTTGAGGTACGAGATGATAGATAATCTATCTTTATTTTATCATGTTTTAACAATTTGTCTTTTCTCTTACAGTACTAAGGATTGCAAATACTTCAACAAAGGTCGTGGAAAGTGTCCATTCGGTAATAAATGTTTCTATCTCCATGCACTTCCGGACGGAACTAAGAAAGACGTAGGTCCACCGGTTCGACAGAGGCGCAACACCACTGACACCGATATCGACATCTTACACGTAAGTATTGCTTACAATTTACAAAAGTATATTTGTTTTGATCACGGATAAACGCGTTTCATTTAAAATATCGTCGGAACAAGCGATTTAGAATTCTCCGTATCGAACAGTCGAGCTACATCCATTTACATACTTTACATTTTGCACTATTTACAGCAACTAATCTTGTGGGATTTCTTCGATGAAAGGGACGATCGTTGGATGTATCTTGATTTAGAAGATATCCCTTTCTTCTCAGATTCCGACGATTCCGATTGGTCCGATTATGAACTGTCGTTCGATTAGACGAGCAAAACTAGTCGACCGACACAAAACTGCCTTGATACCACTGTTATCATGCTACTCTGTTGCTCTATGTCGATATCTACTTCCTTTATCACTTATGCGCGGCTTTAGCGACTAAGAAAATTACTAGATAATTAGCAAATAATTTGAATTATTATAATTCGAAGACGTTCTAGTTACGTAGAAGAAAAAATAGAAAACAAGAAAAACATGCGCACTTTCCTAAAATGATAATTTATATATATATATAAAAAAAACTATTTAGTTGTTTATCATCAAAATAGTCAAAACGCTTTCTTTTCTTTCTTTCATAGATAATATTTATAAGTTTTTATTTCTATATAAGATGGTAATAGTGTTAAAATGTCTACCCGCGCGCAACAATAGAAAAATTGTATTAACATTTTAATAGAATAAATATAAAGTGACATTTTAATAACTATTATTTTCAACACCATAAAAATAAATCTTTTAAATATTATCTATAAAAAGAATATGTTTTTTACTATTTTATGATAACTGTATACTTGTGTATAAATAATTACGAGATCTACAATTTCAAGAATTATTGCGGTACATAATCGAGCACAAAAAAATAAAAGGCAGGAAATATGGACAGTAAAAATTTCCTTGAATATGCATCGTAACATTGAAGTCACTTTTGTGTAACTTGACCAATGCTCTACTAACTGATTGTTCCAGCACTATTAATTCAGTGGTCCAAATTTTATCAGTGAATAGATCGATATTTTTCCGATGTTCGTTTCCTCGTAGAGTAATATATCCGTTTTTCCCGATACTAATTATTATTGATATATCACAATGCATGATCTGGAATACATCTATACATTAAATCAAATTGTAGAATAAATAAGTCAATGCATAACCAGAATTTTAGTTGATTATCAATCAGTGAAATATAAAAAAAATCATTCTTTTTTGCTCTTTTTCATAAGTAGAAAGGTATATCAAAATAGTTGAAGGGTAGTTTAATTGTAGTTTTTTTTATTAAGGCTTCTTTTCATTTAAAGCAAATAGATTAGATTTACTCTATTTTGTAATTTCAATAAACATTTATCATCCAATGTTATATTATTGTGCGTACTTAATCAACATGTAAAAACTATGGAGAATGTGCTAACATGGGATTTAAACAAAATTTTCAATAATGCAAATTACCGTCTAAATCGATTTTACTGGGCTTTATTTGTATTTGTAATAAATATCTATATATACAGTGGGCATGTTTTGTGATTGCAATATAATATTGCGCTTGATGAATGATAAATAAAATCAGTTATGTGTCATGTTCATAAATATAATTCTGATGCAACAGCTATAAAAAATGCACGTTGCATTATCAATAATAAAATCTTTAAATATAAACTACCACTATTGCAATTACAAAACAGATTTAATTATAACACTTCGAGGATTCATAATACTTACTATTCACATATAAAATAGAAGAACTGGACAACGATTTATTACTTGTGTGATCAGTGTGCATTGTTAGTTCAATTTATCACTAGTTCATATCGAAGGTACGATCTACAACTGTCGTCCTACCTCTTGCTATGGCTCCGCGAATCTTTATACATATATACAATACATTTCTTTAAATTATTATACAGTTGTTTAGTGTTACTCGTGAGTAATGGGTATTCCTTGAGCAAGTGTGCAAAGTGAATGTGATGCATGTGTAAGAATGCGAGCGTATTGATGTGCGGTATTTGTGTGCGTGTGCGTAAATGTGCGAATGAGAAGTATGAATATGAAAACAAAATTTGTGAGAAAGAGATGAGACTATGGATAGCATATATGCGGGACGAATAACAACAAATGTAATAAAAAGAAGCTTTGTGAGAAGCATTTGTAGACTGGAGATTAAAAAAAAAAAGAACAGTAGAAGTACGCACGACGGAGTTGGACCCACGACAGAGCCATGCTGGGAATCATCGTCGATCGTTTTTACATTTTATCGATTTACTAATAATAGCAACTCGTTCCGACAACCGTTCTCTCGATATAGAACCATGATAATTACGCTTTGAAGGGCATAGAATTCTTTTGTGTAAAACTGACGAGATGATACATACGTAAAAATATAATACACCAAAGAGATACGATATTCACTCTCTAGCATTGAATATTCCGTGTGATGTCATTTTTTTTTAACCTTTCGCTATGAATGATCTTTTCGCAATATATTTATGACAAATAATTACATTGTTCTACATATAGTTCTTGCTCGCACTTACAATCTGATTCGTATTCATGATAGGAAGTGACCAGCTTTTACAGAGAACCGTCGGTACTGCCTTTCAAAAGCTATGTGATTATAGAGTAATATATCATTCATTGCGCTATTATAAGGTCAGTTTCTTAATCCGCCTCAATAAAGCGTTTTATCGGCTCGAACTTTCGCTATGCCATGAGAATATCGTTTATATATTTCCCATAGAATTTCTATATTGTTAATTTTATCGACAATTGTTAGAATAAAACGCTTTATATTGTTACCGGTAATGTATAATAGAAACTTTCTATGATACGCTGTGCGTTTCGAGCGGCTATTTTTCGAGCTACTTTCTTTAACAAATTTCCCGATAAGGGAAACAAAAGTAAAACGCTTAAGCGATATTGGATTGTAAGATAGCGGAATGTACGATCGGTGAGTCGATTGAGAATTCTTAAGTCGGTAATAATTTTGTGAATGATAATGAATTTACGATGGAAAAAACATCTTTAATGTTAGCACGTTTAGTACCAGTATACATATCGCCGTTGTAGGAGGAAAGTTAATTGCGTTGATCGTTGCACGTATTTGTCGTCACTACCATTTTTATTTATTTTGAGTTAAGCGCGATGCATTTACTGCATTATTATGCTCTAAATGCATGAGACGCGAAAGGATAAAATTAGCAGTTGATGTTTATCAAGTCGTTTAACGACATTCAGCACAGTTTGCCTTGATTTTGGCGATGCATTTTCGGAGTTAACTTTGGAGTTCACTCGCGTACATAATACATAGTACATAGTAATTCTAAAATCGAGGTTCCGCTGTGTGATTTTTTTTGTTTTGTCAACGCGAAGAGAGTAAGGGATGGCCGATTTACTGATTCATTCAGATTATTATTCGAACGAGATAGCGAACGTTAGAACGATATTCTTAATAACTTTAATCCTATTCTCAGGATGGTTTCATTAAACTAGTTTAGAAATTATATAGAATTTATGGAACAACCGCGTGCGTTATGTCTCTGCGTGCAGAATTCAATCGCCAAGATTCTACCGCAAGTGTGCATTAATGTGAATTAATTGTACTAAACGTACCTGCATTGAATACTTTATTGCGTAGTGACAAGTATTCTTTTTCCCTTTAATAACTTAAATACGCCTTATAGATTGTTATTTAATTCATTTATATAAGTTGAGATCGAGCGTCTCTAATAATTCTGTTTTTTTTTTCTTTCGGCTCTTACGGAGTGCGGTTCTTTAGAAATAACGTTGTTGTGTCGATTGTATCATTTTATTTTTCAGCGTATTATTTATTTTTATTCAGCGTGTTAAACGTGTATTTTATCGTGTGTGCCGGAAACGCTCAAAGAGTCTTGCGAGTTAAGAAAGAAGAGTTACTCTTAAGTCTTTTCTTTTTTAAGGGAGGTAATTTGTTGATATCACGCTAAATTTCTATACGTAATTAAACCTTATATTTTTGTAACTTGTCGCGTCGAACTACGTTATGTAATAAAGGCTCTATAAAGCGGATATAATAAGATATACGATTAAAAATCTTATATTTGTTAGGTAGCGCACCACCATGAAAAGGTAAAATCGACGTTGAAAACATTGTTGTGCCACAGCTTGTTTCTTACGTCTTTAATAGATCTTAGATTATTGTGAATGTTTTTTTAGCCAATAAATAATACGTAGATGAAGCAAACTGTGTTTTCACTGCATAATGCGAAAACAAATTGCAAACATTTGCATTATCTTATACCATCCTTTTTACATGTAAAAAGCAATTTGTACACGGAAAGAATTTTCTTTTAAAATTTATCCTAAAAATATGGTAGTCGTGGGACAACATTGTATTTCGAAGAATTTTATGTAAATCTCTTCTCTCTCTCACTCGCTAATAAAAAAAACTATAATAAACTATAAAATAAGTTTGATTAATTTTAATGTAGCGCATGATAAAAATCTTTAAAATATTGTATTGTCTATCACAACTATCACATTTTCAGGATAAATTTTAAGAAAAAATTCTTTCCGTGTAAGGAAAAATAATTCTATTAATCAAGGAAATTAATTCTATTATATATATAATAAGAAAGAATGAATCTCTCCCTCTGCCTAGGAGTTCTTTCCTCTTTTGTACTTTTCTTAATTGATAATGCAGTTGCGAAGCTGTCGCTGTGACAAGTTTGCTTTGCATTGTATCACATTATCGCGGGCAAAATATAATTACAAAATTATCCGAATGTGTTCAACAATTTTCCGATGACGTCCAATTAAAGCATGTCAGATAGATGTAAAAACGTGTTAATTCTCGAGAGCGAATAAGTCGCAAAATATTGTATACGATCGCTCGCGAAATTTATGATAAAAAAAACACTCGCTTCTAGTAGATACAAGAATAATTACTTCCTAGGAGAACGAGGGGGAGAAGGAGGGGCGTGATCGAGTAATTCATATGTCGATTATATGTA